TCAATTTGCTCAACCATAAAATTGCAAACCACTCCTGACCAATTGAAGGAAGATAAATTACTTGCATTATAGTCAAGGTTGTACAAACCACTCGAGACATTGTAATTGCTCGATGGAAAAAATAAGTTTGCCAACAAAACTTTATGCATAACTCTACAAATGGTGTTGAATAGTTTCGAAAAAACTGCCAACAAGTAATTCTTTGTTCGTATGGAATTTACAGTAGATATGAGATATTTATTTCAGTGCACAATTTCTCTATAATTCGGCATGTCAATGAGCAAGGCTACCTTGTTTGAATTTAAGCTTAAGCATTTGTCACCTACTTTAAAAAATCTTGTGTTCAATGTCCCAACATTTCAAAATTTACAAGATTAGTGAATTTTTCTGTTGACAAGGTAGCAGGTCGAAAAACTGAATAAAATATAAATATTTCAAAATTATTTTAGTTTCTTTCATTAATTCGCTCAAAAACTGCATCACAGACAATTCTGATGACAAAAGGACTGCATCTGCATGTCAATATTTTTGGATTCATGACATTGCAATAGTATTAGATACTAAAAGATTAAATTTTAGCAGATAAAATCTAACATAACAGAAGTTTTCTTCGAACAAATAAATTGAATAATACTATCAAAATATCACCAAAATAACATCAAAATATCACCAAAATATCATAAGAAAATAACACCATAATAACATCATAATAACACCAAAATACCATAAAAATACTACCAGAATACTAAAAATACTATTAAATAATACTACTACTATACAATCAGAATACTGTCGATTAACTTTTTGATTTTGAAAATTAAAAATAATTTTGAAATTTAATTTAATATAAGAGGTATATAGTTTGGGTTTTGAAAATAGTATGTTGTAATTTAAAAAAAAATGAGACCAAATGAATCTCATTAGTCTAATAGTTTGCATAATCGTGTCTGATAACTTGAATACTACAGCCTTCCGAAATATAAGTGTATACCTCGGTAATGGACTCAAACCTGCAAACTAAGAAATTTATGACATCAATTTGGCCTATGAATCTTTTATGTGTGATCGACAAGTTCCTTTATTTAATGTAAAGATTAAATAGGGTTTATATTACCTGGGGGTTTATATTACCTGGGTTTCCTGGGTTTCAAGTTCCCTATAGAAGCAAGCCCCTATAGTTAATTACATCCCAAATGATGGGGGACACTTGAGAAAACTCTCGATAATGATCAGAGGTACTAATCTCAAGAATTTGAGGTTTAGGTTTTCAGGGTAGGACGTGGAAAAGCAAGTGGAAGTGACTCAAACAGTAACAGTTATTTTCAGGAGTCCAAAAAAAAAGGTAGGGGATGTCACAATCTTGAGGAGAAACCTCAGAGACTTCCCAAACAATTCTAATGTGTGGCTGAGTTTTTGAGATAATGTTATTTAAGAGTTTGATCATGTCAATTTTATTATTTGGGAATTACATTTACATAATATCGATTATGTAATTAACCCGCAGAAATAAGAGAGTTTACTTCGTGTCACACGACAACCTCAGAACCTAAGGCGAGTCAGGGCTTACACTGCAAAATATGATATTATAGAAGCCTAAAGAGGATGTGAATTTAAGTCGCACTTGTCGAGCTACCTCGAAATCCTGTGTTGTTATTGAAACTAAGGAAAAATAGATTGTTGAAAAAGATCCTATTGTTAATCGATTCAAGCTCCTTGTCGTGTTGCCCACAAAGCTGGCTCAAAACTCCTCGTTGAAGTAGTAGTCCTAAAGTTTAAGGTTCAAAAAGTTTTATCAGCCGTGTTTCAAGATTTTGGTTTTGTGGTCATTCAAGCATTATTGGGTGTTAAAGTTGATTAGAGCAACACCAGTTATGATCTCACGGTTCCCTCGTTCCGGTGCCCTCGTTCCGGTGATTTTCTTTTGAATTTACTTAGTCAAAATGAGTTGTGAGGTTCATTTAAACTAGGGAGATCTCGTTAGCAACCTTAGGTTACCTCTTCCGATAGACTCCCGTAAATTGAAAAAGACGTGTTATGTTTTTTTTGTAGTGTTGTTTAATTTAAAAAAAAACAGTTTTATAATTTGTAATTTTGGTCTGTAAAGTAAATAAATGCAGGTAAGGGAAGTGATGTAAAGTAAGTAAATAAAATTGCATTGCATAAAATAAATGTGTATCTAGCGTAACTGTTACTGTTGTTCTCGCTGCGTGATTAGCTCATAAAATATAATTTAATTTGCAGGAAATTTAAATAAACTTGCAGGAAAAGTAAGCAAAGTGAGGAATCCAGCACGACAGTATGAAAAACGAGTCGTAAAAATCACAAGCAAAAGTAACCCGTAGCCACGTATGAAAGACCAGGATTGGGTGTAAGACATTGCTAAAAGAGGAGGGCTCAGAGCTAGGCTGTATGCTTCCCGAACTTGAACAAGAACTACCAACCCGACAATCAACAGATGACAGTTCTTAACCTCGATCCAAATGATTAACCATGGACTTTTATAAATTTTCATAGAAAAATTATTTAATTTTCATGCAGATGTTGTTGTTTAAGTCTCTTTAATGTAAAGTTCTTTTTAACATACAGAAGAGATTTTGTTTTTTTTATAAATATTTTGTAAAGTCGTGTTGTCTACAGGCTAATCAATCTAATTGTGCTAAGACTACTCACAACCTAAGAGCATGGGGGGCGACAATCCCACCAAAAGTCGGTGAATAGTATCATCAGTCATTTTCTCTCCCTTATTGAAGGTTCTTAAGGTAGGAGATAATATTATAATAATCTCACTTCGTATCTCTCTTTTAAACACACATAAGCAATGTCGTCATCGCCCTCGCCACCTAGACCTTAGACTTATTCTAGTTCGGTGATTCATATGTGGCATTAACAAATGTCTCCAATTGTCAGGAGGATTTAAGTGTAATGTTCAAGCTCAAATCCCGATGCATTGGGTTTCACTGTAGGTTAAGTTATTGCGAGAATTACGGCGTTCGCGAGTATTCGAGTCATGGAGGGTTCACCTATGGCAGTCTGATCCTGTAGGAACTCATTTTTGGGCCCTCTACGTGTTAAGTCCTTAGCCCTTGCAACTAAGAGTAGAGTGCTTGGGACTACTCATGCGATGTCTGCACAAAAATGAGTCAAGAAGTGACTCGAAGTTCTATGGGAGATGGGCTCCATTATTAGTCTGCGAGGATGGTTAACAAGGAACTCCTAAAGCTAGATCCTGGGTTCTAGGAGTATGAGACTAAGACCTCACTGAAAATTAGGTTAACAAATACCATCAGAATTGTGTGGTTGTATTTTGATGGTTTTCTAGTGTGGTAGTATTCTTGTGATATCTGGTGATAATTTGATCATACTTTGGTGGTATTCTGGTGATGATATCTGATGAAATTTTTGTTAGTATTCTGGTGGTATTATAATGATGTTTTGATGATATTGTGGTGATATTATGTTGGTATTTTGGTATTATTTTAGTGATATTTAAGTTGTAATATGATGTCAAATATTTTGATAGTAAGTTAGTATTGTGATCTGTTTTTTGTAATATTATTGTGGTGTAGCACTAGTTTTTTTGTGTTATTTTGGAGGTTTTGGGTTTTAGGTAGAATTGAGGTTGTAATGCGTTAATATTGTAGTTGTATTATGGTGTTGATATGATGACAATATGGTGTCTCATGATGGTATAGACAGATACTTGCAAATAGCATTTACATTGATTGTTCTCTAAAGGCAAAACAAGAACATTTTCTATTTTTTCAAACACATTGAATCGATAAACCTCCCAAAGAAAAAATTCATTGCACTACAATTATATAGCCAGTAATACACATGATTGTAATGGGATACTTACAAAATATTACATTCAACAAATTAAAAAAAAGAATAAATGCGTCCAAAGAAAAATGAGACTAATGAAGCTTTACATTGAATAGAAGACAAATGAAAAATTGTCATTCTCGATTACATACAGTTCACATGACAAAAAAGTTAAACACTTGAAAATAAATAAAGTCAACTTATTTTCCTGTTTACCTTCTTGTTTTCTTCTCTCTCATTGTTGTTTGTTTCATTCCTTGAATTTATTACAGCTAACGTAAAACCTCAACATTGTATATTGAACAAAGTTAGTTTAGAAGATTTTACAGCCCAAAAACTAGCTAGAAACATAAAGAAGATATGACCTTGTTAAGCTTGAATTTTAAAATGTAGGCGGAGTCCTGAGTGTCGGTGTCGAAGTGTCAGAGTCGATGTCGGTAACACTAAAACTACTTCCATGCTTCCAAGTTCAAGAGTGAAGATGGTAAAACCTCTAGCGCATTAAAACAGTTCTGATAGTGAAAACTTAAAATGCTTGGACTCACTTCGAATAGGAGAAATAGTGGCTCGCAGATGAAAACCCTAGCCCATAAAAAAAGAAAATAAATCGACAATGCGTGTTTTTTTCAATGTAACGGGCGGTCTTTAAGCTGGGCCGTGCGAAAAATAATTTTCTCATTTTTTTTTATTTGAGAAACGGGATGCATCACTATACAAATAACGTCGTATTATTGAGTTTGAATGCAAAACTGAGTCCAGACTCTGGATGCAATATTTTCTCTTTAAAGTGATAACAGTACTATTTTTTATGTGATATAAAGAATTTGAGTGCTATGTGTGTGTGAATATGAAAGTTTAGTGTGAGATATGTAAATACATAAGAATTGTGTGCTATGTATCTTAAGACACTTCAGCTAGTGCAACGTACATTCAAATTATTACATCGATAGCTTGACAAGTTCTCTGAACTTCAAAAGATGATTATTTTGGTCACCTCAAAGAACAAAGAATTAAAGGAAGTTCAAATAAACAGAAGGGAAACAAAAGTTATGTAGCATGTGTGTATAACAAATAAAAATAATTCATGAGGAAAAAAAATATAAACTTTCCTAGGGTTTCCATCAATCACTGTATTCTTTCGATTCATAAGCAATAAAAATTTGAAGAATCGGCATTACCATACGATCCTGAATAATTTTAGCACCGCCAGCAACGGCCTGGCCGGCTTGATGGACGACGTTGTCGGCATAGTTTCGGACAGTACGGGTGAGGTTGTGTTTTCCGCTGACTTCGACGGCCTTATTGACTGCGGATTTTAACCACGACATTGATGGAAGAGGTCTGAGATTGGAAGGAAACGGAACGAGAATTAGGGTTCAACAGCGCTCGATCAGCAGCAGCCCAGGTGTCAGCAGAGCCGCAAGGTCGTGGTGCCAGAACATTCGCTCACTCGCGACCTGAGATTTGCAAGTTACTCAAGATAAGCACCGCGCATCAACTAACGGTTTCGCAAGCGGCGGTCGTTCGACAAAAGTTGGAGCTTGACAACGTGCGGTTCTTCTCTGATCTTCCGTCTGCTTTGAGAGAAATTTTGTTGACTTTTTTACAATGAATATGACTTTCTGCACAACATTTTCAGCTTATAAATATGTGTTTTATGAGAGGTTTATTATTTTTTTGTAATGTCCAAAATCTCAAAAATTTTCGGAACATAATTCGAATCATTCATATTTATCTCATCTGATTTATCTTGTAAATTAATTTTATTTTCATCCCCATTTCTGATTGATGTATTTTGACTTCATAGCTCTCTCTGAAATGGCTATTAATTAGATAATTAATAGTATCAATTCTGTACTATTTATTATATTTTCTAATAGTTGGATACTTCATTGATTTTAGCACATTAAAAGTACGCATTTTTTATAAAAATTCAAGTTTTTTATTAAAAGTCTGCTGCAAAAAATTACGCTGCATTTTTTATAAAAATTTTAAAAATTCAAGTTTTTCTAGAATAAAAATAGATAAAACTTAAATTTATAAGGTTTTTAAAATTCGAATTCTAATTCATTTTTAATATATTAAAAGTTTTGATTAAATTCTTTGAATATGGGTAAATTTCAAATATATTATTTTATGTACAAGTGACAATATCTTACGCCATTAATGCTCGTCGTTAGGGTTGTAAATAAACCAATGCTTTCGATGAACAACACAAACTCAGCTCGATTAAAAACACGAACATATTTGTTCAAATGAGTAAATCAACTAGCTTGAATAATTTTTAAAAGCTTGTAACTTAAATGAATTAAACATGACTATATTTGAACTTGTTCATTTATGTTCATGAACAAACTTGTTTGTTGTTCAACAACTAACTCGTTAAATATTCGATATTATGATAGATGATAACTCATTTTATATATGATGTATTAGTTAAATAAAATTTAATTAATTAGAATTTATTTATTTATAGATTTAATATTAATATATTATCATATCAAAAATATTTTTTAATTAATTATTAATTATATATTTTTTTGTTTAAGTTTAGGTGTTAGATGTGAAAGTATATAAGATTTGTGTGACATGTATGAAATGCCCCTTAAAATTAACTTTAAAGCCCCGCAAACCTCACTTTTTCTCTAGCCTCTTATCGTTTTGTGTTTCTCAGTTTCACTCAAAACATACGAAACTCTGAGTTGTTAGAGCGTGCATACATTAAAAGTAACAACGAGATCATAGTGTGTTTAGATCTCTGAAACTTTAGTCTCTCGTATGTCTCATTTTTCCACTCTGCTCTTAAATTTTACGCGATTTAAAAGTGGTGTTGAGAAAGTGATGTGCAATTTTAGAAAGTTATATATGATTAAAAAGAAGAATGAAGCAACAACTCAATATGAAAGACATCTATAAAATTGTCCAAAAAAGTTAGTAAAATGACAAGTGCATATTAATATGAGAAATCAAACACCAACATTTGAATACGGGAGTTGTGTGCAAACTCGGAGGTATGAGTATGATTATGTTAAAATATGAGAGATTACATCTCATATGATCATTATTCATGAATTATCTTTCATTTTTATAGAGTTTAAAATCAATAAATTAGTAGGTGCAATCAGGTTTGTAAATTTATTTATTATTATTTTATATGAAAATTTAGATACTTTTTTGAATTTTTAGCTCGTTTAAATACTCGTTCACTTATTATAAACAAGTCATGTACAAATCAAGTTCATATATTAAAAATTTTAACCAAGTCAAACTTGATCAATATAAGAAAGCTCGACACAAGCTCAAGCCGAACAAGAAAAACTTATAATTTTACGAAGCCGAGTAAGCCAAGTCTGTTCTCGACTCAGCTCGGATTGATATCTATCTTCACCAATCTCAAACTCATTGTCATGGCCGCCAACCGCCTATCAGCCACCGTCAAACCTCACCCCACTCCCATCAATTGTCGCCCGTTGTCACCAACTATAGCTGGTTTATATTAAATTAAATTCATTTTTTTCTTCCAACAAAACAAAAAATTATAGTCCTATATCTATTTTACACTTAACCAAACAATTCTAAAATATTTCCAATACAATATATTACTTTAATATTGCATTTATTTTGTTGCAAATCAAACATTTAACCCTTCAATAAAACATAGAGTCTATTTTGACTTTTTCCTTTTTTCCAGGAAATGATTATCTACATCCAAAATTGGCCAAGTCTGAGTTAAATTAAATATACATCAAGTCATTAAACTACTTTTAGAAGCTTTTGATGAATACTTAGAAGGGTAAACATATTTAAAATTTGGCACGCTTATCATGCTCAACAAAACGAATTGAAAGAGCTCAATATAACTCAATTTCAACATCACTAAGGCACTTAAATCTGCATTGAACACCGTTCGATCGAGGGAATTTTCTTATGTCGTCCGATCAACGTGGTTTGGGTTCCTTTTTTATTTGCGATGGCGGTAAAAATAAAGCCCCCCCCCCCCCTTCCTGTGCTGCCAACCAGCGTCAATTGTCACCTGCTAATCATAGTAAACCACAATCATTCTTCATGTGCAAAGTCTCTTGTAGAGTCACAGCGTGCATTGATGAATCACAACAAAATTTATGGAAAGTGAACCATGTAGTGGAGCAATATGTCATCCAATACACCATGTACATGGGTGAAACCAGCTTCTTTTTTTTAATAGGAGGGGGCACAAACTGTTCTCCTAAACCTAGTATGAGAGGGGGCTATGGCAATGAAGGGCAATGTGATATTTCAGGAGGGCAAAACTAATATTTCATGAGGGGCAAAAGACTAAATTGCCCTCCCGTATAAATTAAAATCTGGATTTTTTTTTTTTGGGGGGGGGGGGGGCCCTTTTTTTTAAAATTATGAATCTTAAATATA